GGGCGGAAAGCAGGCAGCCAAGGGGGCCTGGAAGGTAGAGCGGAGACTCAGTAGGAGAGGGGCGCAGGGCAGGGCAGCAGCAGGTGAGAGGCGTGCAGAAGGAAGGCCAGCCTGAGGGGAGGACCAGGGAAGAACAGCATGGGGCTGGGCGGGAGGCTTGGGCCCTGGGGGTGACGAAATGTGACCCTCCTCCGCCAGCACCCCCAGCCTGTGGGAAGCCCCAGCAGCTGAACCGGATCGTGGGTGGTGAGGACAGCACCGATGCCGAGTGGCCCTGGGTCGTGAGCATCCAGAAGAACAGGACCCACCACTGTGCAGGCTCCCTGCTCACCAGCCGCTGGGTAGTCACCGCCGCCCACTGCTTCAAGGGGTATGCACACCGGTCCTGCACTTGATACCCCAGGCCTCCTGCCCCGGACCCCGGGCTCCCCACTCAGCCCCAGCCTCCTGGTCTCTGTCCAGTCTCAGGGCCTCTCAGGAGAGGAGAGACCCTGCTGCTTCTCGTGGGCCTCCATAAGCATGTTGTCCCCCAGACACTCCCTGACCCTTCCCAGCACCCCGCCCCCAGGGTTCCTGACTGACCCTACCCCCTTTCCTCTTCCTGCCAGCACTCTGAACAAGCCATCCCAGTTCTCTGTGCTGCTGGGGGCCTGGCAGCTGGGGAACCCTGGCCCGAGGTCCCAGGAGGTGGGTATCGCCTGGGTGCAGTCCCACCCTGTGTACTCCTGGGAAGAGGGCTCCCGTGCGGACATTGCCCTGGTGCGCCTTGAGCACTCCATCCACTTCTCTGAGCGAATCCTGCCCATCTGCCTGCCTGATGCCTCCGTCCGTCTCTCTCCCAACATGCGCTGCTGGATTGCAGGCTGGGGGAGCATCCATGATGGAGGTGCGGCTTCTCCCTTACCGGGTGGCCGGGGGTGGCTGGGGACAGAGGCTAGCAGGCTCCTGGAGACACAGGTACAGTGGACAGCAGAGGGTAGAGGCCAGAGGCATAGCAAAAGGAAAAAGACTCTTCTGACAACAGACACAAAAGAAAAAGTGAACTGCAGCCCAGAGGTGGGAAGTCTCAGAAAGCTAGATGGACGCTTATAGGTCTCTTCTAGTTAAAAGGGATCTGTGATGATGTTCTGGGGTGGCAGCAGCCAGATGGACGAGGCTATTAGGTGATGGAGGAAAGGCTGGAAGGAGCATGTGTGGGGCCAGGCTGACTGGGGGGGAACAGGCACCTCCTGGTGGCAGCGTGCCATAATTGCAGGTGAAATTTCCAGAAGGACGTGAAAATAAAATTGTCAGACCAGGTCTGGAAAACATCATCTAGAGACACAAGGCAGATAAAGTAAGAGGCAGAGAAGCAAAAAAAGATGATAGATAATGGGGGGGGGGGTGTTAGGAGGAAAAAGTTTAAGAAAAATGATTAACCACATTTCAAAAGAATTAAGAGAAATGACCCCAGGTGCCTGGGGATCCCCCTGAGTCCGAGGTTACAGGCAGCCTCCCCATAGTCATGCTGCAGGGATCCTTCGAGAACTGGAATTATGGGCTGGGGGGGGTCTACAGACCAACCCCAGGGTCTGCAATCCCCCTAGGGTTTGGGGGACTCCTCAGGTCCTGATAACCTCCAGCATGGGGTGATCATTTATTGAACACTTCCCTGTTCCAGTCCCCGTACTGGACAAAGTGGTGCCTGAGGCAGGACAAGCTAGAACCAGTGGTTCTAACCATTTTGTGGGCATCAGAAAGCTCTAAAGATTCAGGATCTCAGGATGCACACTTCTGTTCAGATTCAGTAGGTCCAGAGGTGGAGTCTTGGAATTCGGGCTTTCCAAAGGCATTTGGGAGAGCCTAACAGGGTTGAGCCATTAGCCTTTGAGAACTGCCTCGGAGGGGGTGTGGAGGGGGCCGTCGGGACATGAAGAGAGGGTTTCCCAAGCCTGATCCTCTGCTCCCTGCCCTCAGTGCCCCTGCCCCATCCCCAGACCCTGCAGAAGCTGGAGGTTCCCATCATCGACTCAGAAGTCTGCAGCCTCCTGTACTGGCGGGGAGCGGGGCAGGGGGCCATCACCGAGGACATGCTGTGTGCTGGCTACCTGGAGGGGCAGCGAGATGCCTGTCTGGTGAGCACCCCACCTTCTTCCCATCACTGCCCGCTGCTCACCTCCCCAAGACAGCTGGGACCCGCGAGTCCCCCAGATGCCTACAGAACCGGGCCTCCATCCTTCCGGCCGTACACCAAACATCTACTGAGCATCTTGGGTGTGCCGGACCCCGCTCTCTGGGAGCTTGCCTTCTCCTGAGGAGTCCCAGAACCAGCTCCAGCCCCATCACTGTGGCGGCGGACAGCGGGTGCTGTGATGGTCCGCACCCGGGCTCGGACACTGTAAGGTCCTGGTTGCAGTTCCTACTCTGCTACCCAGGATGCCAGTGTGGCTCGGGGGCCGTGAGCGCGAAGGTGTGGCACAGAGTGCTCCTCACCAGCAGTGAGCCCGCGGGCCTGTCCTCCAGGACAGAGAAATCCGCCCCCCGAGGGAACCCTTGCCACCTGCTGTGTTGGGTCCTGGGCTCTGTCCAGCCCTGAGCCACGTGGGTCCCTGACCTTGCCTTCTCTCCGCAGGGTGACTCCGGGGGCCCCCTCATGTGCCAGGTCGAGGGCACCTGGCTGCTGGCGGGCATCATCAGCTGGGGCGAGGGCTGTGCGGAGCGCGACCGGCCCGGCGTCTACATCAGCCTGGCTGCCCACCGCTCCTGGGTGATGAGGATCGTGCAGGGGGTGCAGCTCCGCGGGCACTCACAGGGGAACGGGCCCACTCGGGGCACCGGGCCGTCCCGGGGCCGCGTGCGTTAGGGATCTGGGGAGACGGGCAGCTGCGGGCCCCAGCCACCCGACCGTGCGCCTTTCCCGTGCGCCCTTCCCGCCGTTGTAAGTGAGCCACCTGCCTCCGGGGGGCCCCCACATGCCGGCACTGCCCCGCCCGCGGGAGCGCCTTTGTTTTCTGTGTGTATATATCCCTGGTGACGATTTTTACAGTTGTTTGTAGCCCTGCCCCCATATCTTATTTATTACAATTTCAATAAATTATTTATTCCCCCGTTCCTGTTTTTCCAGGTATGGGGACATTGGGAGGCAGGGGTACACTTGGGATTAAAATGGGGGCAGGCGGGTATGAGTTTGTCTGATGGTCCTGCCAGGGACCTAGCTGTCCTGTCCACCTGTGTTTCGTCATTCCGACCCCTGGCCTTTGCACTTCTTTCCTATGCCCCCCTCCCACCGGGAGGCCACATAGAGAGGAGGCAGGAGGCCCCCAACCTGCCTGTTGGGTTTCCCAAACTGGGCTAGCTAGGAGAAACCCGCCCATATGACAGTGGGTGTCCCCTCCCTCCCTCCCCTGAGAACCAGGTCTCCCGGATTCGGGCCGAGGCAGCCAAGTCCTCTGCACCCCCAGGAGCTGACGCAGGAGTGACTCACTGCTGATTCTGTGAGTTGTCCTGCAAAGACAGAGCAAAACAATGAGATGGCAGGTCTCTAGGCCTGCGACATGATGGGCTTGAGTCACCTGGCCTGGGCCCACAGGGGGTGGGAGCCAGTCCTGGGCCTTGGAGGGTCTGCCAGCTAACACCCCCCTTCCCCCAGGACTGCCCCGCCCCCTCCCCCTCCTCTGCAGCCTCTTGGACCCGCCCCTCCAGCCCCCCACGTCTGGGACCCCCTCCTCACCCACCTGGGGTTCCCTGCAGCCGGTGCAATGTGCGGACTGAGGGCTCTGGGGTTGGCTTCAGGAGTCTGTGAACCTGATGGTGGTTCATACAAAGAGATTGCTTCTAAAAGAAAGTCAAGAAAACAGCTAGGTCCAGTCACGCTGAAGGACTATTTACAAAGTGTCTCCAGCTAGAAATTGTCCGTGAAGCGAGTTTTTGAGAAGGCAGCACAGGGTTTTGGCTGGTTTGCTGTTTGGCACCCTTTATGGGGAGTAGCTTCAGAAACATTTGCTCCTGTTGTTTTGATGACCGTCCTGTCGTTACCAGATCACAGTAGATGCCTTGGGGTTGGTTTTATAAAAAAACAAACACCACACTGGCCTCCTGCTCATCTGGGAACCAGCCTGGGGAGTGAACGGTGACTCAGGTGAGCGCCACATCCAAATCCTGGCCCTCCCCTTCGTGACCCAGGCCCCTCCTTACCTGCCACTCCCCCTGCCTCCTCTCCCACCTTCAGCCCCCCCTCCCTGGCTTGCTGCGCTGCCTCCTCCCTCTGTCCTCCGATATGGAGATCTGCCAGGGTGGTGATGGTGATGTCCCTGGGACACTCAGGTGGGGGCGGGTTCTCTCTGAGTTGGGCGGTGGGCCTCTGGGGAGCTCCTGAGCGCACCCTCCTGGAGGAGGCTGAGGGCAGGCTGGGCCCCAGAGTGGGGAACCAGCACCTGGGTCTCCACTGCAACAGGATATGCAATGACTCCTTCCTCAGGGCTGGGGGAGTCCAGGAGGTGGCAAGGGAGTCAGCCCCACACCAGCAGAGAAGCCCCTTTGCTCCCAGGTTTGAGCCGGGCCCAGGAACACACCCCAAATCTGGACCACTCCGGGTGGGCGACTCACTGCTTTGGTTCCACGGACACCACCTGCCGCCGGGGACCACAGAGCCCCTGGGCCTGCAGGTGGTCTCCTCAGGAGAAGTCCCAGGGGCCCAGTGGGCAGGAGTCTCCACCTGCTGCAGCCTCCCACACGGAACAGCCCTTCCCAGAGCTCCCCAAGGTGACAAGTGTCATTCCAGCACGAGCTGCCTTAGCTGCAGGCTACTTGGTCTGTCCCTCCACATGCTCTCTCCTCAGATCTTTAACCCTTGAGAAGACGTCCACCCCCACACCTGGGACTCCACAGCGCTGCCCCGGCGTCCAGAGCAAGTGAGCACACACACACACACTGAGCCCGGCTCTTCTGTGGTGGTAACCTCCTGTGCCTGGTAAGCCCACGCCTCTCCCTTGCTTCCTCCACCATCGAGACTGGAAAAGTGAAACGCTCACTTCCACAATCTCCCGCAGAGTTGCAAGAGCCTGTGGGACTGAGTGTTGGCCCAGGAGAGGGAAGCAGATGTCTGGTGGGTGGTTTCTTGGGAAGACAGCTTTTTCCTGATAAAAGGGACCTATTCAGCTAGCATCCTTTCCCATCCTCTACCTTCTAGTTTTGGATGTCGATGTGATGCTTAAACATCAGCAGCCATCTTATCACCATGAAGTGACAAGCTGCTGGGCAGAGTGACAGCAAAGCTTCAGGAGCTGTGAGTGTGAGGATGTGGCGGGCCCACTATCCAGTCTCCAACAGCTGCCTCCCTCCATGTGTCTGTGCTTCTAAGCCGCTGTTGGTCGATCTTCTTTTACTTGCAGCTAATTGCATTCCTAAGTGATATACCTGCTTCAAACCTCTGTTTTAGAATAGTTTTAGATTTATAGACAACCCTTTTTTTTTTTTTTTTTTTACAGAAAAGTCTTTTTGTTATTGTGAAAATGGTCATGTCAGATTTCATCAATCACACATGTTTGGAGTTTTTTTCAAAGATTTTATTTTTATTTTTAATTATTTTTTAAGAAGATTTTATTTGAGAGAGAGAGAGCATGAGTGGAGGGGAGGGGCAGGGGGAGAGGGAGAAGCAGACCCCCCCGGGCAAGGAGCCTGATGTGGGATTGGATCCCAGGACTCCGGATTCATGTCCTGAGCCAAAGGCAGACGCTTAACTGACTGAGCCACCTAGGCGCCTCAAGATTTTATTTTTAAGTAATCTCCACGTTCAATATGGGGCTCGAACTTACAACCCTGAGATCAAGAGTTGCACAGTCCACCAACTGAGCTGGCTAGGCGCCCTGCACATTTGAATTATCTAAAGTTCGAAGGCTTTGAGCTCATCCCTGCCCACAAGAATTCTGGACCTGCAGACGGTCCCCCCACTTAGTTTCAGGGGTCCCCAGGATGTAAGAATTTATCCAAGAGTAAGTCTTTTCCTTGTCTCTCTTTCCTGCTTCAAGTCTCCTCATCAGTCCTGCCGCCCACCAAGGCACCTGAAGGAGTCTCACCGTTGCCCCGGCTGACAGTGCCCTGGCGAGCTCACCAGCGTCCATGCCAAGTGCACCCTCCCCAAGTTCCCCAGATGGCCCTGGGAGTCTGGGGTTCCACACGGAGGAGGAGAGAATGGCCTCTCCCAGCTCCGAGCCGCACCTTGCCCCCTGCACCCAGGTGGTTGTGCTCAGAAGGTCACAAGGTTGCTCATGGACACGTCCCCTTGGGCTGTGTGTCTGATTTCCTGTCAGTCATGCATAGGCAAGCCAGAACAAATGAGTTTTCAGAGGCTCAGCGCTCTCCAACCTTACGGAGAGGGTCGTCCCTTTCACAGAGCAAAGTCCGCTTTGCAGGCTCCTCCTGGTCCCCCAGCGTCTGCACGATGGCTGCCGCAGTGCTTCCGCCCTTCTTCACCTGCGGGCATTCACACCTGGCTTGTACCCCTGGTTTCAAAGCTCCGCGACCATCCATACAGGTGACTCCCCGAGCTCTCCCCAAATGGCCCCTGGGCCCCTCAACCTTACCGAGACCCCAAGTGAATCCTATTATCCCCTCTGTCAGAATTTCCCATCCCAGCAAAAGGCAGGAGCCCATCCTTCCAACAGCTCAGTGTGAAAACCCCAGAGGACGGACACCCCCACGTGCTGGCAGGGGCCCCGGGCGCCGGTGGGAACGCGGCGTGGGGTGGCCTCTGCGCAAACCGGGCGACCGTTTCCCGTGCAGCTGACCGACTCCTAAAATTTACCCAAGAGGGAAGAAAACCTACAGGGACCCTGCACGCAGTCATTTATAGCAGCTTTATTCCAAATCAGCAAATGCACTGGAAACCCATGTGCCCTCCGGCTGGCAGTTGGAAAAACACACTGTGGGCGCCTGTTCAGGAGAATTCTGCTCAGCAAGCGAGAGGAGCAGACGGCACGCAAGGCCCACGGACGCCCAGTGCAGCACTCTGAGGGGACCAGTCAGGCTCCAGAGCCACAGGGACAGAGAGCAGATGGGTGGCTGCTGCAGGCTGTGCTGGGGAAGCTCGCGGTCGCTGAATTTTCCTGTGTGTAATTACACCTCCATCAAAATGATTTAAAAACAACACAAACATGTGGAGGCCTCCTTGCCTCCTCGCTTTCCCTCATGGTCTACATTCAAGCCATCAGCAGACCTGTTGGTTTTACTGCGTCTTGGAAATATGTCCAGATGTGTCCACTTGTTCCTATGCCGGGCCCAGCCGCCCTCCACACGATCCTGCATTTCAGCAGTGGCCTCCTCGCTGGGCTCCCTGCTTCTGCTCTTGCTTCAGCAGCTGCAAGACTGGCTCTCTCCAAACCTAAGTAACGTGTCCCACTCCCATTCAGAAACCTCTGCTGGCTTACTTTACTCAGATGGAATGACGTCGTCCTTCTGGCCTCCCCGCCCCCTCCCCCTCCTTGCTGGGGAGCTGCAGCTGCAGGGCTCCCAGCTGTGCCCCGGAACACCACAGGCACGCTTCTGCCTCAGGGCCTTTGCACCTGCAGCCTCCTCTTCTGCCACATGACTGCAGGCTCCTGCCCCCACTTCCTAGGGAACTGCACTCAGATGCTAAGTCACCATCCTGTTTACAAGAGCAGTGTTCCCTCCCTCCCCTTTTGCTTCTTTCTTTGCTCTCTTTTTTCTAGGACATTTATTACTATTTAACATACTACGTTGCAGGGCGTTTCAGTCACCCCAAAATCCTCCTGTGCCCCTTCCTGGTCAGCTCCCCTGTCCCACCTCCCGGTCCCCAAGTGACCACTGATCTCCCTTCTGTGCTTCCTAGCGTTTTAGGTAAATGGAATCATCCAGCATGTGCTGTCTTGTACCTGGCTTCTTCAGCCTCAGTGGGATGTCTTGGGGGCCGCCCGGGCTGTGGCGTGTCTTCATTGCTGGTGGTGTTCCTGTGTGTTCCCGGGAGACCGCAGCACTGAGAGCCTTCACCCATTCTCGTGTTGATGGGCATTCGGGTTGTTTCTGGGTTTTGGCTATTACCCATCAAGCTGCTGTGAACACTTGGAAGTTTTTATGTGGACATATTTTCATTTCTGTTGAGCCAACCAACACCCAGGAGTGGAGTAAACTGTGTATGTTTCACTTTTTTTTTTTTAAGATTTTATTTATTTATTTGAGAGAGAGCACGAGACAGGGAGAGGCAGAGGGAGAAGCAGGGAGCATGATGTGGGCTCGATCCCAGGACCCCAGGATCATGATCTGAGCCGAAGGCAGATGCTTAACCGACTGACCCGGGTGCCCCTGCACATTTAACTTTTAAAGAAACCACCAACTCCTTTCCCAAGTGATTGTTATCGTCTGATCTACCTGCCAGCATCATGAAAGGTAAGGGTCCCAGCGTCTCCAATCCTCACCTCCTGATGAGAGCCCTCCTAGCCGGGGGGCCGGGGCGGCCAGGGAGGGGGGGGTGGGCTGCTGTGGTATCTCAGGTGGTCCCACTTTGCGCTTGTCTGATGACTCATGGCGTGCGGCACCTGCTCCTAGACTCATGTGCCCCTCGTATTTCTTCTCTTGTGATTTGCCTATTCAGACCTTTCGCACTTAAAAATTTTTGGTCTGATTATTGAATGGTAGGACTTCTTTATTCTGGCTGTAAATCTTTTGACAGAGCAATTACATATTGTAGAATCTCTTTTTATTTTTGTAGAAAATGTAGATATGTGTTTTATGTCTTCTTCCTCCTCCTATTTTTTAGTTATTCATTTTTATTGTGTTTTACAGTTGTATTATTGTATTTTACAAAAGTATATGCTTATGGTCTTTTTAAGGTTCCCAGAGCCGATTCCAGCATGGTGGGGGGCGGAGCTCCTCAGATACCACAGGGTGCCCAGAATTCAGCTCAGTTGTGACACCGTCCATCCAGGGACAGCGTCAGCCCCACAGGTGAGGGGCTCAGCCCACTCCCACCCCAGACGCCAGTCCCCAGTCCTGTGCTTTTGATCACAGCCACAGAGTGGAGGGTCCCTCCTCCGTCCCTCCCCTCCAGCCCTTCCAGTCCGCTAGCGCGGCTCACAGAGCTCAGGGAAACATGCACTTTCCCAGCTTATGGATGGATTGGACCATGTGAGCACAGGGGACCAGGGGCTGCCTGAGGGCCAGGGAGAGAGCAGCCCTCCCTGATGCCTTCATCTCTGACTCCCGTCAGCCAGAACGGAGGGAACACAACTGAGTGTCCTGCCCCCCAGTTGTGGGATTGCTGACAGCGGCCCGAGCAGGTCAGGACCGCGAATGACCACAGTAGACCGCGAACAAGTCGTCCTTTACCCCAGGGAGTCTGAGAAGCATTTCTCCCACACCTGCTCAGGAGCGGTCACAGCGTGTCCTGGCAGCTTGGGACAGTCCAGGGTGACGCCTGTCCTGCTGGGATTATCATTAAAAAGAGGGGCGCCTGGGTGGCTCAGTCGTTGGGCGTCTGCCTTCGGCTCAGGTCATGATCCCAGGGTCCTGGGATCGAGCCCCGCATCAGGCTCCCTGCTCTGCAGGAGACCTGCTTCTCCCTCTTCTACTCCCCCTGCTTGTGTTCCCTCTCTCACTGTGTCTCTCTCTGTCAAATAAATAAATAAAATAAAAAAAAATTAAAAAAAAATAAAAAAAAAGAAATCACAGGCCCCAAATGGTGTCATTTAGGCCAAGTCTCCCACCTGGAGTTTAACCCCTGACCTGTTTGCCTCCCCCAGAAACACAGTCTTAAGCGGTGGGTGGGGGGCTTTCTGGCCGGAACCATTGAGGTCATCTGTCCCCACAAGCCTGGCCATCCCCCAAAGAAGGTATGGTAAGCCACCTTAGACCCTTGTCCTGCCCTGGAGGGAAAGCGGCCTTGCCTGGAGCCATCCTCTCTTTCCTTCTGCTGTTCACTCCTTGCCCGCCCCCCTTCTTGTGAACAATCTCCATTTTGTACAACGCAGAGCTCCCCACGGCCAGACCCATGCATCACTGATAAAGCCAATCCAGTCTTCACATTTACTCCATGGGATTTTGTTTCTTAACATGATCCGTGCTCTCGTAAGTGTCCCAGGAGCTGGATAAATTATGTAGTCCGCCCAACAGTGACTCAGCTGAACCAAGGGCCCCCGGCCCCTTGGAGCCCCCTGATTTTCAATCTCTGTCCCCCTGCCCCAGTCACCATGGCCACCAGCTGGCCACTTAGCACTGGATCTCCCAGCTCTGGCCTGTGGCACGCCCGCCACCTCCCACCCTCCCTGCCAGCAAAACAGGGGCAGCCCCCAGGGGCCCTGGCAACCATTAACCAGCTTGAGGGCCAGTGCCCTCTGGCCCTGTGTCCGAAGCAGGGACACGACGATACCTGTGGGAGCTGGCTCAGCATTTGGGCATTCGTGCACCCTCTGTCACAATAACCTCCCTCAGCCTCTGTGAGGCCTGGGGGACCTGCTTTCAGTCCAGTTGGCCCACTTCGGGGTGGGGGGTTGGGCAGCCACGGTGTCCCCCATGCCCCTCCCCTCCCTGGAGGTGGCTGTCTGGAACATTCCAGGGAGGAGTTCAATGTCAGGAGCTCGGGGCTTACAGGAGTCGTGAGCCCTGGTGGAGGGAGACGACAGGGCAGATGGGATGGTCCTGAGGCATCGGCCCTCCGGGGGCCAGACCAGCCCCAGCAGCCTCCTGGGAGCTGAGAACCACCTGCTGCCCAGAAGGCTTGCTGCCTCAGCCACACACCCCGGGTGCTCGGGAATGTTCCCTGGCCCTGTGGAATGGCCCTCAGAGCCTCTCCTCTGCTGTCCCTCCCCCGCCCCCTCCCCTCTGCCTCCTGGGCCCTGCAGAGTCCCACAACTTTCTCTCGCTCATCACTTCCCTGTGCTCTTTTGCTAAACTCTCCAGCTCGTCACTCTTCACGAGGACCCTTCCAGAAAGCAGTGAGGAGAGGACAGGAAGAATTACAGGTAAACAAAGCCCCTCACTTCCTCAGCCTCTGTGCTTCACATTTGATGATGGCCGTTTCCCAGCATGAGCCCAACCACCCAGGAGCCGCAACTCGCTGCCCTGGGCCGTGGTGCCATGCAGCCCTGTCCCCGGGGCCTCCTGCCCCATGTCCATCTGCGCGTGTCCACTGCGTGCGTGCATGTGTGTGTGTGTGTGCGCGCGCGTGCACATGTGTGTGCACTGGACAGGTCTGTGTGTGCTCGGGGAGCCCAAACATTCAGGGCAGTAGGCAGTGAGACTACTCAGCTCCTGCCCCCAGGGGCGACTCCCGAGCCCCCTCCCCTCCCAGCCTCCCACCTCTGCCAAGGCCAGTGAGAGGGAAGGAGCCCGAACCAGCAGCCAAATTCACGGGGAGATTTTCCCAGCTGGCCACGACTGCAGCACAGACACAAGCCTCTTTGTCTTCTGTCCCTTGGGCCCCCCCAGAGGTGGTATGTGGGGAGGATTTAGAAGACTGACCTTTCTGATTAAAACGCTCCACCCGACCTCCACTGACTGCAGCAGACAAAGGAGGTTCTCTTGTGCCTGGTGTGGGGGAGGGGTGTGGGGCCTGGTGCCTGGTGTGGGGGAGGGGTGTGGGACCTGGTGCCTGGTGCGGGGGTCGGGGGGGCCCCCTGCCCTGAGGAGGTGGGGTGGCAGGCTAGCATGGAGAATATTCATTACCTTCTTAGCCCCTAGTTGCCGTGCATACCCCTGCACAGCTGAATGTCTCTCAGGGGCACTCCCCACCCGTGACTGATTAGTCCGTGGACTCTGGCAGGCCCTGGGGCTAGTGACACCTCCCAGAGACAAGGTAGGGCCAGGAGCCGCACAGCTCAGTGTTGTGTAAGAAGAAACAGTTGGTGGCCAACACATAGCGTCTGCTGGGGTTGAGCCGGTACATGGTTAAGGAAGTAGTTATATTTACTCGAATGTTCCTGAAGGCTGACTTCAGCACAAAGGTCAACTCTGAGGAGCAGGAACCGGGTGCAGGTTAAACAGTCCCTTCAACTGGCCCCTGGGTTCAGGTCTGGCATGGACCTCATCTCTGAACTTGTCGTGAGTCACTGAGAAGAAATTCACAGGTAGTGGAAACCAGCCTGCAAGAACCCCGTGCCGTGGAGTGCTGAAGCCCTGGGCACGTGGGGCGCGGGGTCCCCCAGAAAAACGGGAACGTAGTGCCCACCCCGCAGGTGTGTGCCGGGGTTGAATGAGGGAAGGCTTGTGAAGCCACTGAGCATCAGGCCTGGCCGCAAGCAGGTGCGTGACGGATGTTAGCATTCCTCCATGCATCCGTCCACCCCCTTGTTCCGGGAGAAAGATCCATACTGACAAGCGTGCACACAGCACGAGCTGCACTTGGAGGCCGGTGGCCTTCAGCACAGAATTGCTCATCACCATGGAGACCGTTGCACCCTGACCCTGCCGGGCGCCGGAGCCTCAGCTCACACACGACCCCCTGCAAACACCTGGGGCTGTTTCTCTCGGCTCTCCTGTCCTGTTTCAAGTTGCCCCTGGCAACTTTTCTTTCTGGAACCCTCTCGTCCTCAGACAGGTTCTCTCTTTCCTAATGCCAGCTTCTGTAGCCAGGTGTCCTAGTTATCAAACTTAACCCTTTTACATGCCTAAATCCATTTTATTTTTTTTTAAGTTTATTTTTCAGTAATCTTTTTTTTTTAAAGATTTTATTTCTTTATTTGACAGAGAGAGACACAACGAGAGAGGGAACACAAGCAGGGGGAGTGGGAGAGGGAGAAGCAGGCTTCCCGCCAAGCAGGGAGCCCCATGTGGGGCTCGATCCCAGGACCCCGGGATCATGACCTGAGCCGAAGGCAGACGCTTAACGACTGAGCCACCCGGGCGCCCCTATTTTTTAGTAATCTTTACATCCAATGTGGGGCTTGAACCCATAACCCTGAGATTAAGCATCACACGCTCCTCCGACTGAGCCAGCCAGGCACCCCTGCCTAAATGCATTTTAAAACCCTGGAAGTTGGGGCGCCTGGGTGGCTCAGTCAGCTAAGCGTCTGCCTTTGGCTCAGGTCATGATCTCCAGGTCCCAGGACCGAGTCCTGCACCGGGCTCCCTGCTCAGTGGGGAGACTGCTTCTCCCTCTTCCACTGTAGCCCCCCTGCTTGTGCTCACTCTGTCTCTCTCTAATGAATAAATTTTAAAAAACTTAAATAAATAAAACGAACACTGGAAGTAGATACATCGAAATGCTGACAGTGGATACCTCTGGGTAACGGGACTTCTTTTCAGTATAGCTCTCTATTCTCTAATTCCTGCAGTGTACGTGGATGACTTTGGTAACAGGAAAAAATATTATACAATTACATTTCATGGAAGAGTTGATTACGATTTCTATTCCCTCTCCCCCGGCTGCCAGTTTTTTGCCATTTTGGGAGCATCTGAAATGTCTTTAGTTTCTTCATCGAAGGACTTTTGCATCACGGTAGCAGGGATTCCAAACTTCAAATGAGAAAGTTAAGGCCTCAGAGAAAATCCTCTTCCCCAGAGCAGGCACACCGGCGTGCACTTCTGCCCCGAAGCGTGAGCCCAGGCCAGAGCAAATGGAGCTGGGAATGGGCTGGAGCTCTCCTTTACTGAGTTGTCAGCGAGTCACTAGATCCTCTCTTCACCTCACACACCAAGATAACAGCCAGAAGGAAAAGGAAGGTCAGTATAAAATACCAAACAACTGGGCAAAGGTTTGGTGTGAGACAGCCCAGAGGAAGACAAGGGAGCAGGTAACAGATGCAGAAAGACGCCCAGGAGTGGCAGTGACCGGATGGCCTGTCGGAGGCTGACAGTGCCAAGTGTTGGCACGGGTGTGGAGCACCTGGAGGGCTCGGGCACAGCTGTCGGGAATTCAGAACCTTGGAAAGCTGTCTCGCCATTTCTTCTAAACTTAAACCTACACTGACGGTGTGAGTCATCGATCCCACGGTGAGACGTTTGCCCAGGACAAATGGAGACAGATATGTCACAAAAATTCATGCACGCGCGTTCACAGAATCTTTATTCCTAATAGCTCAGACAAACAGCCCCAGTGTTCGTTGGCCGGTACACGGATAGATAACCACTGCTCAGCGGTAGAAGGGGAAGGAACTGGTGAAGTACAGATCACACAGACGAACCTCCGAACCCTAACGCTGGGCGAAGGAAGCCAGACACAGGGGAGCACATACCATCTGATTTCGTTTATTTGAAATTTTAGAAAAGACAACACCAATTTATAGTGACCAAAAAACAGATCAGTGATTCTCTGGAACTGGGTTTGGGAGGAGATGGACTCCAGGGGCCCTGCAGGGGTGACAGAAACTTCCTTCATTTTGAGTGTAGTGGTAGTTACAACCAGTGGATGTTTGTCAAATTTTTATCAAACTTCACTATGAACATAGATGCCTTTTACAGTGTGGACAGTGTACCTCCAGAAAACGGAGTGGGAAACCAAAACAGGAAAACTCAAAAAGAGTGCAGCTGACCCTCAACACTGTTGTGGGCCCCTGACCTAACTAGACAAAACCGTGAATGGACACGATAGCAGGAAGCAGACTTCTCTGTGCAGCGTGTCTAAGGTCAGTCAGACCAGTGAGGAAGTATCGGGAGTGAGCGCCTAGTGGGTTTGGGGTCCGGGGCTTCCGTCGCAGTGATGAGGAACGTCTGGGGCTAGATGGTGGCTCTGATACCGCACGGCACTGCTCAGGTGCTAAATGTCGTGGCGGTCTATACTTTAAAATGGCTTAAAGGGCAAACCCTATGTGTATCTTACCACGATAAAAATATCCGCCAGCCTCGTACAGCAGTGAATTGATATGGAAAACATCACAGAACACCTCCTTTGCTGGAAAGCCCCAGAACGATGGGGTCCGGGGTCAGGGAGCGGGAGCCCAGAGACGATACTCTGTGCCCAAAGGCACGCCGGGGTGGGGGCTCAGACCTCCGGCTCTGAGGTTTGGAGCTCCAGGGAGATGGACCCCACTCTGGACCCCCATCAGACTCGTGGGGTGAAAGGGAGAGGTGCGCCCCTCAGAGAGCAGGGTGCAGGACAGACCACAGCACATAGCCCGTGGTTCTCAACCTTGGCCTACTGCACTTTGGGGCCAGAGAGTTAGGTTTTGCGCGTGTGTATGCGGGGGCTGTCCTGTGCATTGGATATGTACCAATGTCTCTTGCCTCTATCCCCTCAAGGTCTGGACACCTACCCAGTTGTGACAACCCAAAATGTCTTCTTACATGGGCAGAGGTCCCCTGGGGGCACCACTGACCCCAGGAGGGAACCACTGCTCTAAGCAAAGGGGGTTGGTCCTAGCCTTGGGAAAATCCGTGGCCCTCTCCATAAAACTGAGTCCCCCATGACGGAGAGTCTCCCCAGGGGCAGGGCGGGCCTGCCCGGCCTGCAGGAGCTGCCCGTCTATAAAACACAGCTTCTTACCAAATCACCCTCTGTCACCAGAGGAATCCCTGTGATCAGCTGATTCTCTTGGACGGGTCCCTGCAGCCTCCTGACTGACACAAGGCCCTGGAAACGGCATGCGAACCCCTCGCTGAGGACCCTGACGTCTGGCTGGTAGGGACGTGCTAGCTGGCTGTGGGTTTCTGGCTCCTCACCCACGAGCACAGGTTTGGGGCTCTGTTCGGGCCTGGGCCCATGTTTGCCTGGGGATCCCTGCTCCACTGTGTGGAGGGCCCCACCTATTAGTTCCCCCCCCTGGGGTCCTAGTTGGCTCATCTGTAAAATGGGGCAAACATCGCTTATTCTCAGTAGGAGCAGACGAGATGGTGGCCCAGCACTCGGCTCGGTGATCTGCCCATAGTGACAAAGAAAGCTCAGGCCGCCTGATCGCAGGTATAGGCCCTGGCCTCGGCCAGACCCGCTCCTGGCCCTCCCTCCTTCCTTCCAGGAAGCTGCCTCAGGGAGGCGGAAGGAAGGGACCTGAAAGGGCGGCCAAACCCACAAAAGGGTTTCCAGCTTGGGCCTCGGCCTGTGGAACCACAAGCCCTTTGTCTGCCTCCTCCTGGTGCCCTTTCCCCGAGAGCTGCTCGCCTGAGGGCTTAGCTGGCGGTTCTGGAGGCCCTGTCCTCTGCCCCCACCCCTGGCATCCCAGCAGCCCAAGGGGAGTCTCTCCCAGGCCTTGGGGGGAGCTGCTCATCACCCCGGCCACCTCCCCGGGTTGGCTGCCCCTTCCCCTCAGCTAGAAGTGCCAGGGTGGGAGCTCCCGGCACATCCCACGGGGACGGATGGGTTGTGCCCCTGGGCGGGCGCATTGGATCAAGCTAATGGTGCACGTGGCCGCAAGCTGGGAGACCTTCGGGAGAACCAGGGCCAGGGAAGGGGCAGAAGCTGGATGGGAGTAATGAGGAGCCCGGGGGCGCCCAGAGCCGGGTGGCAGGTGTCCCTCCTCTAGCATCTCTATGGCGGGGGGTGGGTGGTAATGGGCAGCAGCGGCAACAAGGGTCATGCTCAGAACTTGTCCCTGGGATTGAGTCTGGCCTTGGCCGCTAACTCCCTGAGTGACCTCGGGCAAGGTGCTAAATGCATCTGCGGCTGATTCTTCAGCTATAAGATGGGAATAAAGCAGGGATGTGTTGCCCGAGTGAGTGCTGGGACGGCAGGTGTTTTATGAGTCCCTGGGTGGTGCAGTGGGGAGTGGACCGCTTTTAGAGGGAACCTAAAAAGAGCTTAGGCAAGTCCACCCAAAGGCAGAAGGAGTGGGGCCTCCTCGCATGTTCTTCTGCTCTAGGCAGGTGCTTCGGCGTCTTGCCCCCTTGAGGCGCCCATCTCAGGCAGGGCCTGTCTGCTTTCTTCCTCCCCACGTGCCCAGGGCTGTTGAGGGCTGGGGGAGCCCCAGCATTTAGGATGTAGTTATACTTTAAAAAAATGCAATGTTTGATATTTACTTCAGTAAAAAATTGTTTATCTGAAATCCTGAAATTTGTTTATCTGGCAGCCCTCCTTGAGAGCAGGAATGAGCTGGGGTTAGGAGCAGCCTGGAGCTTGGCTGGAAGACCATCGGGCCATCTCTGTCTCTTTTCTGCTGTTCTATGTTCATCGGTCTTCCTCTCCCACTCGAGAGTGAAGGCTGAAGCTGGACACGGCTGCCCCGTGGCTCCTGGGGACACGTGACAACACGGGGCACACGCAGGGCCTGACTTGCCCGTCTCCGGCTAAGAATAACTGCTGCATCTTGGGCCAAGGCCCATCTCTGGTCCACCGGGCTCCGTGTGGCTGCCTCAGCCTCACCCAGGTGTGCTGGGGGAGGGGTAGTGGTGAGCGGGCACCCCCTGCAGGTGGAGGGCCCAGTGGGAAAGCTGCCCCCCCCCCCCCGCCCCGCTTCGAGTCTTACTCCGCCGGTAAGGCATGAGGCCTTGTCCATGAGGCCTGTCCCGGCAGCTGGTACGGAGGGGGAGGGAGCAGTCCTGAGCTCGGGTCTGAGGACAGGTGGACGGAGCGCCTGTCCAGGAGACCGACGTGTGCTTTCTGAGTGGGGGTGCCCCAGCCACTGGAGTGCTGTTCCACAAGGGGAAGAGCTGACCACTTCTGAGGGACGAAGCTGGGTAGACAGCAGGAAGGACTTCCTAGCTAGGGGGGGCATGGAGGCCAGGCAGGTGTTGAGGGAGATGGTGGTTTGGGAAGCCCGCCTCCTTCCTGGCATCCAGCAGAGGTTTGGGGCTCCCCACACCCCACAATACGGGGCCTCCAGAGGCCACAGGCTGGTGTTGGTGCTGTGGATAGGCAAGCACGTCACCGCGGGGGCCACCAGGCGCCTGCCCCGGGCAGCTGCGCTGGAGCACCCCCAGGGCACCAGGCCACCCCCCGGGCACCCAGCCTCAGACTCCAGAACGCAGCTCCCATCCGCCCCGCTGACGGCCCCACGCAGTTTCTCCTGCCTCTCGGAACCGGCTTCACATGGGGACTGGCCCGAAGGAGCTGTGACCTCAGGGTCCCGCCCTAGTGACCAGACAGCCAACGATGACCCATGACCCACGTGCGGATGGCCACTCAAGGAGGCCACCTGCTGGGTTCTGACAGGGGCCTGGGTCCCCCGGCCCAGAGATCAGGTGACCCCGGGCTGGTACGAAAGGCCCGGCCAGAGCGCCGCTGAGTGCTTGTTAAATAAGGGTTCACACAACTGAACCCGCATGGTCCCTGTCACCAAGGGGAGTGGGCCCTGGGTGCCCCCAAGCCCCCTCGCCCCGGTTCTGGTCCCCTGTGGTACACTATGCAAGTCTCCACAGCGCCGGGGTGCGGGCCGCCCAGGCAGGGCTCCGTGAGGAAGAGGCACGCGGTGCTCGCCGGGGGACCATGCAGCACTTCCTGGGAGCCGGCTCACAAGCCAGGGACTGTGCTTTGCAATCAGTGGGCACGACTGCCCTGAGCTGGCCCCTTACCCACCTCTTCCTCCTCTTCCTTGGTTCCCCACCCATCCTCCTCTCTTCCTGTCTGATCCTGACCACAAGGCAATGTCTGCTCTCCCTCTTCAGGCTGACACTGTCCCATTTCTGACTATCCTCATGGCCATACGGGGTGGGGGGTATTGGGAGGTGGGGTCCCCCTTGAAGCTGCCAGCCTGTGAAAGTGGTCAGGAGTCTCATACTGAAAACAGATTTTCCTGTTAGCAGTCCAGGGGCAAGAAGTGATACACTGGAGCTCGCCCTTGGGCCCAGGAGAGCAGCCCCCCAGCTTCTCCACGACGCCAGAGGAAAACAGCCAGATGCGCTCATCACAATGTGTCCTCACATGTGTTCTCCAAATACCCTTTACTACGACAGATCACGTGGCACGTCTGAAAACACCCATAATTTTGAAGTTGGGACAAGTGTGAATTTCAAGATATTCGGGACAACTGTCATCGTCAAGGTCACGGGCACTGCTGATGAGCTGGGTGAGGTCACACTCACATGTGAAGGAAACACAAAATTTCCAGTAGAAAACAATGAAAATAAACAGGTGACTTTTTTTCCCCCCAGCCAAGTTCGTGGATTCTCTGAAAGTTGCCCATGGACCCCAGGTGAAAACCACAAAATGGGTCCCAACCAGCATTTAAAGGATAAGAAGCAAAACAGAGAAAAATGTCAGCATGTGTCTGGGGTTCCCAGCCCAAGCAAACCCCAGCCTTCCTGCTTGCTGCTGTGTGTGACCCAGGCCAACCCGCTGGGCTCTCTGTGCCTCAGTTTGCTCATTTTCCAGATAGGAGCCACTGAAGGCCCGTGCCCACAGGGGGGTGGTTCAGGTGCAGCCAGACCCAGCACCCCGCACCAGTAGCCAGCGTTTGGCTGTGTGCGTGCTCGGTGGCAGGGTGCAGAATGCATCTTCCCGCGGCCACTGCCCCTGATGTTTGCAAGCCTCGTCGCTGGAGGTCCCTGGGACTCAGATTCCAGGCTCGGGATGGGGCTACAAAGAACGGGCAAGGTCTCGGGTCTGCATTAATTCCCCAGGCTGCTATCACAAATCACACCTCCCGGAGTCCTGTCTTCAGCCCTCCTGGCCCTCGCCTTCGCCCATGCTGGTCGCTCTGCCCAGAATGCCCTCCTTCCCTTGTCTCTACCGGACCAGGTCTCCCTCCGCCTTCAGGCCCATATGCTGCCTCCTTCAGAAAGGCTTCCCTGCAGCACAGCCCCATCGCCCTGCCTCTATGCAGGTGCCCACACATAATGCCCTACATGTGTCCCCGTCAATGGAGAGGCCACCACCTGCTTCTGCTTCCACCCGCTACAGGGCGCCCTTCAGCTGGACACCTGGCGTCTTTTAACCATGAGTGCCTGGGGGAATCCAGGCCCTGGCAGATGTGTGCTGAGCTAGCGAGGAAGTGAATGGCTGGGCTTCTCTGAGGCCCGTCACATACTCAGAGAAGACCGGGGCTGAGCCTGGGCTGTCAGAGGCCAGCTGGATGGGCTTGGGGGAGGGGCGGGGTGGAGGGTGACCTGGGAGCCCAGACTCCTCAAAGATGCAAGATCTTTGAGGCCCAGGATCTGCCCAGGCAGAATCTCCAAGGCCTGGGGCATGGGACCTGCTCCTTCCTTACCCTGCACCTCCACCCCAGAGGCCTTGTCTCCCCTCCCCACCCCAGCTGGGAAAGCTTTGGTCACACCCTGGACCCAAGAACCACACCTGGACACACCATTCTTGCAGAAGCTTTATTTATTGGCAGATTCCAATTTGAGGCCCAGACTCAGCTATTCTCAGCCCCCTTGGCTCAGCTGGAGCACTGCGTGTCTCTAGTACTGTTTGGTTCAGTGGTCCACTCCTCATCCTCTGGAGGGTAGTCCCACTCAAAGCAGAGGCCCGAAAGGCCTAAAAGCTTATGCTGGCCACAGATTCCCGTGAGCACCTTCCCGTCCTCACTGGGGGAGACGATGAAGGTGTTGCCACTTTCCTTCCCAAACGTGGCATAGCGCCCTTGATCTGTGGATATGATCAGGGACCGGATAAACACCCTGTAGGAGCCATAGATCATTTGGATGTGTTCTCCTGGCTGCAGGATGAATTCCTGGGTAGTCCCACCTGGGGCGCCGAACACTGTGCTCCAGGACACGCCACATCTCACCTGGATACTGGGACACGGGAAGAGTTGGAGGCCCAGAGCCAGGTTGACCCACCACTCCCCGGGCGCTCGATCCCCCTGCAAGGACAGCAATCCTGTCATGACAGGTCAGCAGCCCCACCCCGTGGACCGAGGTGCTGCTCTCAGACCCCCGCTCTGATGTTTTTGGGCTCTGTGAGCTTGGGTTCATTACCCAGCCGCTCCGGGCCTCAGTTTCCTTATCTGAAAAGTGGGAGTGGTTTGGGGGGGCAGGCAGTGAGATCATTTGTAAGGGGACCCTCAGGTGGTGCCGGCCGCTCTCACTGCGCACAGTGGGGAGCTGTCCCCAGCCCAGCTTGGACTTTGAACCCCAGCTACCGGCAAGACCAGGTCACAGGCCTTAGAAGCAAGCGACCCCCACAGTTACCTGGGGGAGTTCCACTAGCTCTGCTCATCGGGGCTTCCCTGTTCCCCCCCCCACGCCTCCTCCCCCCGGCCCTGGCCACACTGTCCCCTGAGGCACCTGCTGTGCTCCCCAGGACCCTGGGCGTGTAGAGCACGGGTCCGCCCAGGCCTGGAGCTGCGGCCCAGCTCTCTGCCTCCACACATGTCTGCTGACTGGTGTTCTGCCTGCAGTCCTTTTTGACCTCACTGCCTTTCCTCTGACCCTCCCCTGGACAGACCACCCCCTGGGTTCCCCATCGGGCATCTGGGACTGAGAGGCTGTTTGGCGTTGAAGGGAGAGAGGAGGGAGAAGCATCACCTACCCCTCTTTTTAGGTCAGCCCAGGAAGCCAGGCAGGACTTGCGGACAGAACGGAAGGGGCTGGTGGGCCGGGGAGGACACGCAAGGACAGGGACAAACAGGAAGGTGGTGGCTGGTGGCTCCAGAACTCCCAGGGTCATTGGGAGACCAGCGCAGGTACAAGGGGACGAGGTGCGAAACCCCCCAGTTCCCGAGGCTGTGGTGACAGGGCTCCAGGCCCCGCTCCTACTCACCTCTTCACCAGGCCCAGGAGACCCACAGCCACCCGGATTCCGGTGATTTCACAGTCGCTGGAGGTGCTGAAATATTTGCCTCCTCCTTCCCCATACATCTCTAGATGGACGAGGGGACCGGGTGGGGAAGAGAAGAGCACCACAGGCTGAGGTGGAGTGTATCCCTGCCCTGAACTAGACGTGGCCCTCCAGGCAGCCGGCGCGGTCCCAGGACTGGAGTCGGTCTGTGGCGAGGGGTGAGCGTGCCCCTCCGGGGAACGGGCTGGGGCAGGGGTGAGCGTGGCCCCCCGGGGGACGGGCTGGGAGGGGTGAGTGTGGCACCCTGGGGGGACGGGCCAGGAGGGCCGGGGTGAGCGTGGCCCCCCGGGGTGGGGGGCAGACCCAGCCAGACTTACGCTTTGCCCAGCAGGTGGTGCTCCACAGGAGGGCGAGAGTCAGCCACAGCAGCATGGCCTTTGGATGGTGAGTCCCAAGGCTCCTGGAGGGAAGAGGGCAGGCCACTGACTCTGAGGGGTCCCCCGTCGGACCTCGCCAGGCCCCTTCGTGGGAGGGGAGCGCCGCCCGTACCTGTCCACGAGAGTCCGTCGCCCAGTCCTGGCAGTGCAGCGTCTTGTGCCTGGGTGCTCTCCGCCTGGCCCTTTATACCCACCCCATCCCCGTGGGCCCCCATCCAGAAGGAAGGAAGTAGGGCCACCAGGGCAACAGGAAGGAATTGCGGTCGGCTCTTTCTGGGGGAATCCCAGAGGCATCCTGGGGGAGGCTCCCAGGCGCACTGTGTTTATTGTCTTGGGCTCATGGCCTACACAAAACAGGACAGTGACAAGCGTTTCTTTGCCACCTCCAGGTCTCTCTTCTCAGCACCTGGACTAGAATGGGGGGTTGCTGGGAGTCCCCCCAGCTTGGCCAGACAGGCCTCCACCCACCGGGGAGCTACAGGCCAGGTGCCCACAGGGGCTCCTGCCTTGTGCACAACCGGGCCCAGGACCTTATTCAGGCCTGTGTGGAGCTTGGTGTCTTGTGGGCTTCCAGGAGCTCAGGCCGACCCTCAGAGAGAGCTGGACTGTGTGCCCGGCGCCAGGTTTAAGAGACACCCAGGGGTTGGCGCCCCGTGCTGTGTCACTTGGAAGACAGTGACAATCTTTGTGCCCAGAGCAGATGTAGCTGGGACGGGCCGGCCTCAACGGTAGTGCTCCCCGGGGTTGGCCGGGGCATGACCGGGCACAGAGGGTCGGAGAGAGGGCGATTCTCTAGGCCAGTGCCTCTGGGGGCTCCTGGGGTCAGGCCTAGGTGTCAGACTTACGTGGGAGGTAACGGGGTACTTTTCAAGGGCTGCAGATCTGAGGCCCCTGCCGGTGCGGCCGCTGGAGCCAGACTGGGTCCAAATCTTGGCTTCCCTGCGTGTGAGGCGTGCTGTCCAGGGAGCTCCCACCACCCCAACAGATGGTTGGGTCATCTTTTGTCCGCGAGCTGGGATAGAGCCTCCTCTTGGGTGTTATGAGAATTCAGGGATCCTTCTCCTGCAAGGGCCTGAGCACCCGGGTCTCACCTGTGCTGCCAGGTGGGCAAGGTGGTTCTGGGCCGTGTCCTTCGAAATTGCAAAAGATCGGAAACAGCACACTTGTCCATTTGGGGGGTGGTGTCGGCAGCGCCAGGGAACGCTCTGAGGGCGCGAGGAAGGAGGGATGCACGGCCCAGGAGCCAGGCTGGGTGTTCAGGAAGGTCCCATCTGGTCACAAGAAGAGGGTGCAGAGAACGGCCTCCTGTGCGCACAGACCCACTCTGGAAGCACTGGCTTCCTACTGGTTTCACTGGGATGGCAGTGTTGGGGGACTGGGGATGGGGCGGAGGCCCTGTCTACACCCCGCTGAGGTATCTGGGCCAGGGGTTAGCAGAACCCCGGGGAGCACCCCACTCCCACCCATTGTAGCACAGCCCGGGAGCTGAGAACACTTTTTACAGTTCTCAGTGGTTAGAAACAATTCAAAAGAATAGCACTTTGTGACGCATGAAAATCCTGTGAAACTCCGATGGCATTGCCCATAGATAGTGTTCCAGGCACACATCCAAACCCATTCACGTCACCCCACAGAGCTGAGCAATTATGACACTTTGTGACCCAGAAAATCTGCCCCGTGTATCCTCTGGCCCTTCACCCACAAAGTAAGCGATCCTGGAGGCTCCCTGGTCCCCACTCTGGAAGAGAGGCAGCCCATCTACAGCATTTACCAGCCAGCCCTCCGTGGGGAGAGCACAGAGCTGCTTTGGATGTGGCCCTTCCTTCCTGGCCTGCGCTGGTCTCTCTGGAGAGGTCCCATAGGGCTCAGGCACCCACCACTGACTCATGTTGAAAGCTAAGGGCTCCCCACCTGGCCTCCCAATGCTCCTAGCCTCTCCCAGAAGCCCTCGGGCCCACTGAGGGAAGGGACGGGGCAGCCGAACCCCTCCAGAGGCCCCAGAGCCTCCTGTGGGGTGGAGGTGGCAGAGGCCTTGACAGGCGCGGCTCTGGAGGAAGGGCCTGGAGACTGCACAAAGTGGGCTCTGTTCCTGACCCCCTCAAACTGCTGGGCACTTTTGCGGGTCTTGCTGCCAACTCAGGTGCCTTCTTCCTAGTGCCAAGCTGGCCAGGCTTGGCACCCAGAAGGAGGGTCTGTGTGAACCAGAACTCCAGGGAACACTACCTGGGGGAGGGGGGTAGAACCCCGGGGAGCACTACCTTGGGGGGAGTAGGACTCCGGAGAGCACTACCTGGGGGTGGGTAGAACCCCGGGGGGCACTACCTGGGGGTAGGCAGAACCCCGGGGGGCACTACCTGGGGGGGCTGGCTGCAAGAAGAGCCAGTTGCTGCCTAGATGACGGGGGTGCCAGGACGTGCCCAAAAGCACACACGAGGTGCATCTTCGGAGGGCAGGAGTATGGTTATAGCAGAGGCACCTGCACACACGTGCACGCACACAGATGCATCCTCGAGGACGCACGGCTGCCCAGCTGCCCCGACACGCAGGGCCTTGCACATGACCTGCACGGACGTACACTCATGCACACCTGCAAGGGGGGCCCTTTCAGGAGCCCTGCCCCCTCATCCTCCCTGGCCCAGTGCTGGCCCTGGGAAGACTCAACACAGGCCCTTTGTCCCTCAGGATGAGGGCTCCCCAGGAGGGGATTTGCGAGGCCATAATCCCCCCATGGGCTTGGCCCAGACCTCACTCTGCCAGGAGCTGGAACAATGTGGCCTTCTCCCAGCAGAGGTGAGGGGCTGGGTCAGGTCTCCCTGCTCGCTGGATGTGGGCTTTCGGGAGACCCCTGTGTGCTCTGAAGCCTGTGGCACAACAGACAAGAGGGCCTCGAATTCTCACTGATGCCACGCTCTAAGCTAAGCATTTTTCCCCACTTCTCCCCAGAGAAATGCAACACCTATTTTGGAAAATCAGGACACCCAACCACACATTTTGTCTATAATCTTTTATGTAATTAAAATCCCACGGGGCACTTGGGTGGCTCAGTCGGTTGAGTGTCTACCTTCGGCTCAGGTCATGATCTCAGGGTCCCGGGATCGAGCCCCGCATCGGGCTTCCTGCTCAGCGGGAAGCCTGCTTCTCCCTGTCCCACTGCTCCGCCCTCCGCTCGTGCTCGCTTGCTCAAATAAATAAATCTGTATTCAGCCCAAAGTCTCTAAAGGAGAACATTTTCTTGCTTCTTCCAGTCTCTGGTGGCTGTCTGCCGGCCTGGGCGCTTCTCAGCTCGTAGCTACACCCCTGCAGTCTTTCCTCCTCCCTCACCTGCGCCGCTCCCCGTGTCTGTGGCTTCTCTTTTCCTGTCTCTGTAAGGACAGCCGGTGTTGCATTTATGGCCCGTCCTATCCAGGAGCTCCTCGAGATCCCTACCTTAATTACATCTGCAAAGACCCTTAGTCCAAATAAGGCCCCATCAGAGGTTCTGAGAGGACATATCCTTTGGGGGGTGCCACAATTTAACCCACTACAGGGCATTACCCAGCCAGCCCGAGGCTCGGCTGGGAGCCTCTCCTGAACCCCAGAGCTACCGTGTCCCACCTCCAAGTGTCCAGAACCCCACCTCCAGGCCCACTGAGGCCCCAGCCTCATCATCTCATGCCTCTCTGCTTTGAGAAGCCCGCCGCATAGCTGGGGTCCAACACTCTTAGAGAAGGATTCTCTTTGTAAACGTCTCCTTGTTCCCTGGAGTTCGGAGGCACGTGTGTCCGGGCCCCCACCCTGACCCACACCCTACCCATCCTTCCACGTGCCTGTCCTAGAACCTGCCTTTCCAAACAGACTTCTGAAACAATATTCAAACAAAACTACAGTTACTTCCAGGTAAGGGGATTTAGGACATTTTCCTCTTCCTCCCCTGTCCTTTTTTGTATTGCTTTGACTTTTATTTTTTGGTAAGACTGTACCACTTTTACAAACTGAGAAGCATTTTGTTTGGTCTTTTTAAGATTTTATTTGACAGAGAGCACAAGCAGGGGGAGCAGAAGGCTGAGGGAGAGGGAGAAACAGGCTCCCCGCTGAACAGGGAGCCAGATGGGGACCCCATCCCAGGACCCCGGGATCATGACCTGAGCCGAAGGCAGACGCCTAACTGACTGAGCCCCCCACACCTCTGAGAAGTGTTTTTTTTTAACCTGTAAGTTTATAAAGGATATAAAAGTGGACACCCTCAGGGTCAAAACAGGGTGGGAGGTGGGTCCCTCTTCCTTTGCTGGAGGAGTGTACTGGAGTCCTCCTCGTGGTTTAAACTCCTTTGAAAACATGAAGCCCATTTGACTAAAGCACTGCACCCATAGAAACATTAGCCGAAAAAATGACTAGGAACAGGTGCCGAGATTTATAAGATTACAGAAAGATGTCGTTTTTTTTTTTTAAGTAGGCTGCACGCCCAGTGCAGAGCTCAACGTGGGGCTCGAATTCACGATCCTGAGATCAAGACCTGAGCTGGGATCAAGATAAGTCGGATGCTTAACCAACGGAGCCACCCAGGTGCCCCAAAAATGTCATTTGTAATGACATTTGTCAACAACCTAAATGTCCAGTGTTCAGAAATTGGTTCAAAGTTGGGTTCTGGTGATCTTTAACAGTTTCTTCTTTATGCTCCTTTTGCGGACTTGTATTTTCTAAGGAGAATGCATTATTTTTAGAATCACCATCGTGAGGCTATTTTTACGATACAAACGAGTCTGGCTCTGCAACAGAACCACTTCGCCCATTATCTTAAACAGCTGTCCGGAGCAGCAATATCTGTCAGGCTGGGAATAAGCCCGGCAGGGTGTGTGCAAATTCTTCAAGCGACCACCTGCTTCTTGCATGCAAAGGAGACCAGCCTGCGCGGTGGGCAGACCTGTGGATGCGCGGCTCTGCACCTGGCCATAAGACTCCATAAGGGAGAGACCGCCTGGGTGTAGAGAAGGGATCCCGCAGACACAGAACGGGGCTAATGGCAACGGGGAGGTGGTGGGCGGGCCGGGGTCCTCATCCCATTCAAATAGGTATGGGGAAATAAACATTGTTTCAGGCCCCTTAACTCACCTGCATGTTCAGGTACCTGCTTATTTAGCAAACATCCATTGAGGAACCAAGCACCTGTGCCCTCCACTCCCCTCTAGAGGAGCCCCTGGGCAGCTTGGGCGGGGAGCCCGCAGCTCAGCAGTGCCCCCTTGTGTCAGAGGGGGCACACAGCAGAGAAAGGTGCTGAAAGACCTGAGATTTTACTGAAGAAAAATCCACCCCAGGAGATGAAGGGTATCAGATCAGGGAGGGACTGAGGGAACTTCCAGGCCCCGGCTTAGCCCTGGAGACGTGGGGCAGTGTCTTACAAGTCTCTTCTGAAATTCCCCCAAAACGAGGGTTCCATGGTCAGGTCAGTTTGGGGAACGCTGGCTAATTTTGGACCTTGGGTTTGCTGCCCTCACCCCTAACTCTCCTGATTGTCCTTTTTCTCTTCTTTCTGGGAGTAGAAACGGGACTTCAATGCCTTATTTCTACCATTTTGCCATCTCTTATTTATTCTTCCTTGCATCCATCCCCTCATCCGCCCTCATCCTAGGCCACCGCTCTTACTGCTGCTTCTGATTCCTTCCAGGTTTCAGGACCCCTGGGATGACACCATTTGCACCCGGGCAGTCCAGGATAATCTCCCCATGTCACGCCGCTGGCTCAGCCACGTCTGCAGAGTGTCTTTTGCCATACAGAGTGACATACTCAGTCTCTGGAGATCTGGACGCTGACAACCTTGGGCTCGGTTCTGTTCCCCACCGCAGGGACCTCCCTCAGGAAGGGCAGGCGGGAGGTCACCTTCGTAAGCCGTCCTGCCTGAGAATGACATCATGTTGCCCTCCCGCTTGACTGGCTGTTAGCGGGTCTAGAATTCAAAAACCGAAATGACCTTTTCTCAGATAATCTTGGAAGACCCTGCAGCACCACCTTCTAGCTCCTATTCCAGAATCTTGATAGCATTCTATTGTTGCGTTTGTCCGTGCAAGTGGCAGGCAGGAGGCTTGAATCTGCATCCACAGAGCCTCCATATGCTTGAGAAAATGTCACTTGTCCACACACCCAACTAACCGGATTCTTGTTTGGTTTTTAAATACACTTACTGGTTTTGTTTTCTGATTACAGCACAATAGGAAAGGGGTAGCGAAGGAAATCTGGAAAAGGCTAAAAGCGATGGTAATCGCCTAGATGGCCATCACCTGGGGGTGACAAGTGTTGATGCTCTGGTGTGTCCCTAGTCGCACCCGACTCTGCACACACTATGAGATACACGAAGCTCTAGACTGTGATTACAATCAGAACCCGTCAGAAATACTTCACTTTCTCCATAATTATTCTTGTTTACATAAGGGAAGTAATAAATCTTAGTGGCTACCTAAAATATCTGCTCTGGCTTCTACAACTTTTTGGAGAATAAGAAAAAGAAAGGAGAAGGAAAAATACATTGTTGGCACCACCCACAATATAAGTGAAAAATAATCACGAGTCTAATATGCTAACATTTACTCTATAAAAACTATGCTTAAAAAGTTTTGACTCCAGGGGCTCCTGGGTGGCTCAGTTGATTAAGTGTCCGACTCTTGGTCTCAGCTCAGGTCTTGATCTCAGGGTCATGAGTTCAGGCCCCACATTGGGCTCCACACTGGTCGTGGAGCCTACGAAAGAAAGGAAGGAAGGAAAAGAAAAGAAAAAGGAAAGGAAAAAAGAAAAAAAATCTTGACTCCAAAGTACAGATGTCCTCGAAGATGAAAGTTGTAGGTTTTACTGTCTCCATGAACTCATCACAAGGGAAGGCCCCTCTCGTGGCTGCTGGGAAAACATGCGATGGGACGTTGGTCACTCACGGTCTGGCGACTCCCCACCCAGCCTCCATCTTCCTCACCAGACAGGCCTGCCATGTCCCCACCATGCACGTCCTCCCCAGCAGTCAGAGCGACTCCAGCTGTCCACAGCATGGTGACACGCCCTGATCCAGCTCTGGAGGGACAAGCAATTCCACTGGCCACCGGCTCAGGCCCACTGGTCAGTGACCGGGTCCCAGCAGCAGCTGGTGCAGGGCACTTGAGCCCAGGCGCACAGGGCCACTCTCTGTGGCAGGGTCGTGTCCTCCACGGAAGACAGCTGGGAGCGTGAACGCCGAAGGGGGCAGGGACGGGGGGTGGAGGGGTGATGAGCCCCGAGTGGCCCGCCTGAAGCTGCCAGTTCCCTTCCCAGGATGGCTGAGAGCACTTACCATCTCCGGCCTATCTCAGGAGAGCAAGGGTGGGGGACACCACGGGGTGAAGGAACCAGGGACCCAGCGCTGCACCATGATGATCCCCTGGGGCGGAGTGTCGATGGTCCCCTGGGACTCCCTTCCACCCTGGGCCTGGAAACATCCAGCGTGGCCTGTGCCACAGGAGGGGGTGGCCAGACTTCCCGGAGCCCATCACTGATCCCGGGTGGGGCTGTGGGGTGTCTCCACCGTGAAGGGCACAGGGCTGCGTGGTCATTGCTGGGCCAGCGCAGGCTCCGGGACCGCCCATGCAGGAAGGTATGGCCACGGCCAGTTAGTGACAAAGGGAGAGCCGGCCTGAAGGACCCTAATGGGTGTGATGAGCGGATGACAGAGTGGAGGGAGCGACGTCTCAGATGAGGCCTGGAGGAGAGCAGGGCTCAATCAGGAGAAGGGGGAACATTCTAGACCAAGGAAACGGCACCTGCAAGGACCCCAAGTCAGGCCAGAGCCGGTCACACAGGCGCCATGTAAGTGTGGGGGAGCCTCACGAGGGGTGAGGGGCGACAGGAGGTGGTAGGGTCCCTGCAGGGGTGGGGTGCCCAGCCTGGCCAGGAGCCCAGGAGCACCAGGAAGCCGCTGGCCCTGCTGCGTGTGGCGTGGGGGAGGGCTGGAAGGAAACAAACGGGGCGCCCGCACCTGACGCAGTGGTGGCCTCTGAGGGAGCTGGTGAGAGGGAGCAGACGGGGCCTCCTGCCTGGCGGGAAGGACTTTGGTCTTGTTTGTGGCAGCCCACCAGCGTCTGACCACTCCCCCCGTTTGGGGAAGCAGAACCCCGTTCCAGCCTTCCTCCCAGGATCACGGGTGAGCAGGGAGGTTTGCTTCGCGGGTGCCGAGGTGCCGCTGTGGTTTCTCACGGGCTCCAGCGGGACTGTGCCTCAGTTGCCCACAGCGGGAACCTCTTCACTGGGGCTTCCTGGTATCACCTCCCAAATCAACTTCCTACACCCCAGTCCTGGTCCCAGGTCGGCCTCAGGGACGGAGGTCAGACCAGGAGTGTCTGGTGGGGGGCCCCGAGCACCGGGGGGTTCAGGACATTTCCTCCCGGCACCCCCGCTCATCTCCCCAGGGGCCACTAATGTCCTCCCATAAATTATCTTTCTGACTCAACTAACCGGAGAGGGTCCTGTGGCTTGCCCCCCAAACCTGAATAGTGCGGACCGCTGGAGCAAGATTTAGGAGTTAGGGAGTGCTGCTGGGGTGACCGGGTATCCAGGGAGTCCCCCGGGGCCGCAGAAGGCTCCGCAAGGCACAGACTCCAACATGCAAACGTGTTTATTAGCAAAGGGACCCAGGGAGCAGGGCCTGGCTTAGCAGACGGCCCCACTCTCCCGGGCTCTGCAGGGCTCAGGCCAGCTGCAGGAGGGAGGCAGGCCAGAGCAGAGGGAGGAGGAGCAGGGGCCGGCAGGGGGCTGGCCTGGGAACGCCGGGGCTGCGGGCCAACAGCATCCGGATCCAGTTGAAGTGTCTACTGACGTTGGTGTAGACACCAGGCCGGTTGGGCCTCCCGCAGCCTGATCCCCAGCTCACGATTCCAACCTGAATCCACAGCCCTTTCTTTTCACAGGCCAGGGGTCCACCTGAGTCACCCTGGGGAGCAGCGCGGGTGAGCCAGGCCTGGGGCGGGGCCCGAGGGGCCAGTGGAGAGGCGGGGACAGCAGGGGGTGCTGTGGAGCTGGGCAGACTGGGTGCAAATCCCACCCCCCACCCCGGAAGTGAACAAGCCTCAGTTTCTGCATCTGCAAAGTGGGGCAATAGTGTCTGCCCTCTGGGGTGGACACAAGGACCAAATGAGGTATAGGGATACAGGTGACTCTCAGGCCTGGGGCTGGGGTGGGGGGCTGCCAGGCCCCAGAAGCCCCTGGTTGGGCTGGGGAGGGACACTCACAAAGCAGGCGTCCTTGCCACCTTGGCCATGGCCGGCACAAATCATGTCTCCCCAGATGTCAAGGCGGAAAGCAGGCTGTGTGTAGAGGTAGTTACAGATGGCAGTGTTTATGATGCCGACCTGCACTTCCTGGAGGATGTAGGGGGACGGCAGCACTGCAGTGGGGGGCAGAGAAAGATGGCCCCCTGAGCCTCTCCTCTGTCATCTGGTCGGGAGGAACAGGCCACGGGCTGGGGGAGAGGGTCCCTGGGGCCAGCACCCAGCACACTGTGGGTGATGGCAGGCTGCCAGAGCCCATTCCTGAGATCGGGCGTTCCCCCCCCCACCCCAGCAGGCAGAGGGCAGTCCTCCTGAGCCAGCCAGCAGCCCCAGCACACGCCGAGGGGGCGGGGCCCGCACAGCTGAGCCGCGGGAGGCTCAGGGGCCTGAGCAGCTGGGGCAGCCCGCGGCTTTCCTCTCCTCACCCAGCCAGGGGCTTCCAGAGCGGCAGGATGAGCTCTCAGGGCTCCGGGGCCCTCGGAGGACACAGTGCCACCACGACCCTCTTTCAGGTAAGGAAAGATTCAGGGGAGGACTGTCCTTCCCGTCCCTCCCCCCACCGCACCCCCCCGGGGCCCCGCAGAGCACCGGGGAAGTGCCCGAGCCTGCTGTGAACCCAAATCCGTTCAATTCCTCAGGCCGAGCCACAGCTGAGCCAGGGGCCGGCCACAAGGCTAACACCCAGAGCCGCCGTGAGGGTAGAGCCACCTGTCAGCCCCGCACCCTGCCACCCTCCCACATGAACCGCTTCAAACCTCCGAGCCGCCCTAGCAGGTGGGAGCGATCATGACCCCCAGCTACCCACGAGGCGGCCGAGGCACAGCGCCGCGAGATGCCTTGCCCCAGGTCTCCGAGCCAGCACGTGGCCGAGCTAAGCTTTACACCCGCACGACGGTGGGGTCCAAACATCACCTCCTACCTGCCAGAATGAGGGGGAGCTTGGGGCTGGACGGGACTACCTGTTGGCCCGGGGTCAGGGAGTCTGCTGACTGGGCCCCTTGGCTCACACCCATTCGGCCCTTTGGGCCAGGAGAGTTGTGTGGTAGGGACACTTTATCCAGCTCCTTGCAGGAAATGGAAAGGACCCCAAATCTAGAGGAAGGCAGGGCTAGTGTTGATTTAGTGTTGATTTCTCTACCCCCCTCCCCCCAGCCAATTCCAGATGTGTGACCTTCAGGACACATTACCCTCTCGGCCAGTGAGCCCTGGCCTCTCCACTGACTCTTTCAGGGGCCTTCGGGCAATTTCCCCGCCTCTCTCATTTTCCTCATCTATAAAGCCGGTATAAAAATGTTCCCAGCCTCATTCAGAGGTGAGGTCCAGAAGGAAGACAGACCTCACCCTGCTCATTCCTCAGTCTCGAGAGCCCAGAACAGAGCCAGGCACAGAGCACGCATGCCGGGAGCTTTCTCTGCTGTTGCTGCTGTGGGAAGGGGTGCTGCAGGAGTGGGCCGGGCCAGGGAGCAGTGTGTGGGGCAGTCCAGGCCCAGGGCACCTCTGGGGAGGCTGTGCCCAGCAGTTTCGGGGAATTCACGGCGAGAGATATGCAGGTGGCACTTCATGCTGACCCAAGGACCCCCAGACAGCGGGGTGGGGAGCCAAGGATTATGGATGGCTTGAAATTGCCAGGACAGAGTAATGGGCTCAGTGCTCCAGGCAGGAAGCAAGGCAGGTAGACGGAGAAGGTGTGGGAGAGCCAGGGTCGGGATGGCTGGGGGCTGGGTGAGCACCCGTGCTGAGGTGGAAAGAAGGCTTGGCCCAAGGCCTTCTGAGGCCCTCCCACAACCCCGGCACCACTGCAGTCTGGGGGGTGCAGGCCCGGGCCCAGCTGGGCTCCCTCTCACTGGGGCTCCTGGCTCACAGTCTCTGGAAGGGAGAGGGAAGCAGCTGTGAGGACAGAAGTCTGTCCCTTCCAGGGGCAGCAGGAGTGGACAGCAGGTGAGGAGACAGTGCTGAGCGGCCCCAGCTGCGCACAGACCCAGGTGCGGATGCAACAGATGGTGGAGCGTGAGGCCCCCCTGCCCCGCCCCCCTGCCCCCAGCCTCACCCTGATCTTCTTGGATGTCCCCCCAGCCGGTCACCCAGCAGTCGGTCCGGTTCTGGAACTCGGAAGAGGAGGTCAGAACACAGATGGGCTGGATGTACTTATTGTAGGTGACAGAGGAGGACAGCTTCAGCAGGGCGATGTCATAGGATGAAGCCCCCAGGTACATGGGGCTCAAAATGATCTCCTCCACACTGTACCGGTTGTAGTAGGCCTGTAGATTCCAGAGAGACGGCGAGGCAGACAGCTCCCCGAACTGGACCGACCACTCGAAGGGATCACTGTGCCTGGCAGGGACGATAGAGCAGGCAGGGGTCTTTAGAGGAGGCCCGGCCGGAACACACCTGATGTCTTGGGGACTAGGGGCAGCAGGGTGCCTCCCCCTGGGGCCTGATCTAGCCAGTCACTCAGCCAGCCTGTCACCCCCCACAGCCGTCCTAAAAAAACAATGAACAGATGCACAGGACCAGAGCAGGTGGAAAACTCCACCACCACCTTCGCCACAGGCCAGGCTCTGTGCCCAGCACTTCCCCACCTCCTTCCACCCCCTGGTACGCCTCCACCCGGACGTGGGATGAGGAAGGGGACGCCTGGTGCTGCCATCTGGGGAGAAAAGAAGACAGAAAACAACACGACACAAAAGTGCGTGCGAATGTTCTGAAGAACGTTCTAGAAGAAGGGGAACGAGGTTTTCCTCACGTGGCTGCAGCTGGGCCTGGAGCTCAGGAGAATCCGAACCCGGAGGGCGCACAAGACCTAGCCGGCCAATCAGTGGGCCGCCGGCCCCCAGACTCACTTTTCGAAGCAGTGCGCGGCCGTGAGCACCCAGCGGCGGTTCAGCAGGCTCGCTCCGCAGTGGTGGGAGCCCCATAAGCGCAGGCTGCCCTGCCACGGCCAGCGCCCCAGCTCCGAGTCCTTTCCGCCCACCACGCGCGTCGAAACGGTTCGTTGGCCACAGGGCCCTGGGACGGACAGACGGACACGCGGCTGAGCGGCAGGACCCTGCCCTCCTGCGCGAAGGGAAGGGGCTCCCCTTCGGGGACGGGGAAGGGCGCGCGTCGGGGGTCGCGCCGCAGGGGGACCAGGGGACCCCGGGACCCTCCCCACGTGGTCCGCGGGCGCCCGCCCCTCCCCCCGGGGGCCCGGCAGTTACACGTGAGCAACGATGAGTTCTCGAAACCTGGGCGGAGGAGAGGAGAAGATGAGGCGCCCTCTGCGCTGCGGCTCAGGGGCCCCGCGCGGGAAAGCGCGCGTCCTGGGCGCCTTACCTGCAAACAGCTGGTCCTGATCCTGAAACTCTGGGGGGGGCGGGCGGGAGGGTGAGCTCCGCCCGGTCTGCGCGCGCCCCAGCCGCCCCACCCCCCAGCAGTCCGACGCCGGCCCGCGGCCCCCGCCTGAGCTCACCCTGCCTCCCGAGCTCCGCTCGCACCAGCAGCTGCGCCAGCAGCAG